AAAATTAAAATTCACCGTGGTTCCTATAATGTGATTATGGAAAAGACTGATGTAGCTTCAGGAATAAAAATACATGTACATGGAAATATATAAGATGTAATGTTTATCATCCAGGCACATTTTGCATAGTTTTAAAGCAAAATTATATAAAATTTGATGTCTAGGATATATTCCTGGGTTTGGGTCCACTTTGAGAAATAAAACTACAATAGTTTGAACCTTCATGTTTCTGCTTACTAAATACTAGTTTTTGTAGTACAGTCAGAAATTAAAAAAAAAAAAATCAGGAATGCCTATTTCTAAAATGTCAGGATAATACAGTTTACTGGGCAGTTTAGAAAGTTGTAAAATTCATTGTCCTTCCTCTTCTGCAGCTCCCAAGTGTGATGTATGAAGCGGTGAGATGGAAACTAAAGCTTCAGTGGAAAACCAAGGAAAGCTGAAGGCAGGGAGTAGAGCCAACCTGGGAAGGACCATGTGAGCTGCTACCAGCAAGGCTGTAGGGTTGGGGCTGCTCAAGTCCCCATCATGACTGCTCCAGTACTGGAACATGGAGTTATTGGGTTTAATGTTTCTCTTGCGGAAGTTTGGTCTGATTTGATCTGACCATTCCTTGCTATTGTCTTAATCCTTTTAGACTGGACATACACACCATTAAAAATAATAATACAATTTTAAATTTTTTGAAGATTTTTTTTTTTTTTAAGAAGTAGTTCTTAGCTGACATTTAGGCAAAGTATTCATTGAACATGTTTGTTGGCCAAGCCCTCTGCAGCTCCCAGCTGCTGGAGTCTAAGCAGCTGGAGATGAGACCAGGTGTTCAAACACATGAGCTGGGGACACTTCACATTCAAGCCACAACCACCACCATGTTGGTATTTCAGCTGTGGAACTTGCTGCGTATGCTACACTTTCCTGCAGTTTTATGCAGCAGAAGGATTTCAAGTCCAGACTTGTATCTGGAAGTCGAATTCCTGGGACTCTTATATAACTGGAACCAAGACCCAGACAACAACATGACACCGTGGCTGGTGTCAGGCTTACTGCTGGTTAGGGTGACATGGGCACTCACACTTTCTAAACCTATCCATCTGCTATTTAGACTGCACAGTTACGTCCATCAGAGTCTATTCTCAACCAGCTCATGCTTGGAGAGACACACACTTGAGTTTATAGAGTGTAATTAAATAAACTTGTTTGCTAGGGACTGCCATAAGAGATGATTCCTGTATAACCAAGCTACAAAGAATATGCCCATTAGAATTCTTGGTAAAGACCTAGTGTTTTCAACATAAGATAATGTGTCTATTCCTGGACAGAATCCTGCCTTTCTTTTCTGTCTATTTATTTTGAGATGAGTTTCCACTGTGGTGGAGGCTGGCCTTCTGCATTGACTTCACAGGGTTGAATGTTATTATTTTCCTTCCTTCTTGGTTTTCTGTTTACCTAGATTTTGTTTTTGTTTGCTTGTTTTTCAAGGCAGGGTTTCTCTGTGTAGTCCTGGAACTCACTCTGTAGAGTGTTGAAATTACAAGTGTGCGTCTGCACCTCCAGGTATCTATGCATTTATATAATGGACAGTGCAAGTTCATATGGCTAACTCCAAGAAGAAAATACACTTGGCGAGCCATGAAGGTAAGAGTTTTTTTTTCCTAGTGATGCTGTCAGGCCCTTATTTCTTACATTTACAGGCACCTTAGAAGTTTAACAGGGGTTGGAGTGGGTAGCTTAAGAGTACAGTGTTTGCCTAGTATGCATGAGGCCCTGGGTTTGATTGACCCCTGGGATCACAAAAAAAAAAAAAAAAAAAAAAAGTAATATGTAATTGATTCAAGCCAACGAAACAAAAATCCTTGCCAGAATTACAGCAGGCCCTCTGATTTTAGCTCCCTGCCTCTTATACACATTCTCTCTCCCATTCAGATTTTATTATTACGTCCATCACACATTCTTTTCTGCCACTAGCTTGAATGCTCACTACTAACATGGATCATTGCTCTGCCTCTTTCTAAGCAGTTCTGACCATACAGCACACCAAGTTTCTTCCTGCTGGGGACCGAACCCAGGACTTGTGCACGCTAGGCAAGTGCTTCACTCCCAGAGCTGCTTAAATATAGTTACATAAAGTCATTCTCTTTAACTTAGACATCTGGGGGAGACTTTTCTGAGACAATTTTGTAAGTTGTATTTTAAAAGTTGCCTTTGGCTGGGTGGTGGTGGTGTGTAGGAGGCAGAGGCAGGTGGATCTCTGTGGGTTCGAGGCCAGCCTGGTCTACAAAGTGAGTTCAAGGGTGGCCAGGGCTGTTACACAGAGAAAACTTGTCTTGAAAAACCAAGATAGATAGATAGATAGGTAGGTAGGTAGGTAGGTAGGTAGGTAGGTAGGTAGGTAAGTAGTAAATAAAAGTTGCCTTGGTCACTGCTTAGCCATTTGTCTAAACACAAGTATAAAAATTGTTTTCAAAACAGCAATGTGGGATTATAGCAGTAGTCTCAACCTTCCTAATGCTGTGACCCTTTAATACAGTTCCTCATGTTTTGGTGACCCCAACCACAAAATTATTTTTGTTGCTACTTCATAACTGCCATTTTGCTTGTTATGAATTGTAGTGTAAATATCTGTATTTTCCAATGTTCTTAGGTGACCTCTGTGAAAGGGTCATTTGAGCCCTCCAAAGGTTACAACTGACAGGTTGAGAACCACTGAGGAGGTAGAATGATGGCTCATCGAGCGGTTAAGATGACTGGTTGCTCTTACAGAGGCCCAGGCCTCAGTACCCAGCACCCATATGGTGGCTCACAAACGTCCATAACTCCAGTTCTAGGGATCTAACATATTCTTCCAACCTCTGCCTGCACCGGGTGTGTGGTGCACATACATACATGCAGGTAAAATTCTCATACATCAAATAGATAAACCTAAAAAATGTATTTAATGCAAGTGTAAGCCTGGTCTTGGGATGAATGCTTGTTGTCATCTCTGGAGAATGAGGCAGGGGGATCACTTCAGTGCAGAAGTCCTAGGCCAGCTTGGGCAATATAGTGAGACACTTCAGCCTCTACAGATGTGGGACCGGAGATACCGCTAGTGTGCTTGCTTAGCATGTTCTAAGCTGTAGGGAACATTACACATAGAGCCATGAGGATATACTGCCTCACAAACTGCAATCATGCACCCTGAGCTGGTCATTTCTCTGTTTTGCTTTGCTGTTGGTTAGGGAAATCACCCATCCTCAGAACTATAGTCAGCTAAGGGTGACCGAATTCACACTAATTGCAGTTTTTTTTTTTTTTTTTTTTTTTTTTTTTTCCCTTCTTCTTGCAGTTCCCACTTTACACCAGGTGAGGGCAGTAAGAAGACCTCTGTTTCCCAAGTGAAAAGACAGTTCTGTGGGCCACTTTAACTTGTCTCTCAGGACGCGGTCAGTTTCCCAACAGGTTGCTTAGGCTGAAGGGATGAAGTTAGGAGCTAGCAAAGGAATCAGCCGGCCCTGGGAGCTTCAGCTAACAGGAGTCTTGTCTCAAAGGTCAAGGCCAAAGGACAGGCTAATGAACCAACCTCTGCCGTCTGAAAACAGGAAGTAGCTATCTAGCTACTGTCTCTCCTGAACTATGGATGGCACTGTCACCAAATTATATCATGGGAGCATTTAAGAAACAAAAACATATATGAAGAAGCAATCTAGAAGTAACTCCGTACTAAAAAAGCCAGGCTGAGAGACAGATTGAAATTATGTGTAGTGGAGAAATTTCAAAGACATTTTAGGAAAAACTTTTAGCTATGCTATGTAAGAAATTTTACGTATTATATTGCACAGCAGTTAAAGGAGCTTGCTGAACAAGCCCGACCATTGGAGATTGGTCCCCGTAACTCGCATGGTGGAAGGGGAGAATCAACTTCCCCATGATTGTTCTCTGATCTCCACAAACAATGATGGGAACACACACATAAATAAAATGTAACAAGGATAATAAATTATACTAGACTGAGTGAATCGGATTTCTGGGAGTTACTTATTCCATACACTCCTAAAAATTAACAGCCAAACTTTTTAATATTTTAAGATGAATTCACACTAAGTTAAATGTCTCTTTTGAATAGTACAGATGATTTTAATTTTTATTGGTTCTTCGTGGGAGGAATAGTCACATAGATTTGAAAGACAAAAAAAGTAAAGTAAAAGAAACCCCCCACTTGAAATGAAGGACAGACTAACCTGGAAAGCTAACCCAGATCAATATCTGTTCCTTGGAATTTGCTAACTTCCCCTCACAAGGCCCTGAGATAACAAGATACCAAGAATTCACACTACCCCTCCTTTCTTGTGAGTCAGCAGGTGGTGAATAGGGTCCTCTGGTTTGCCCAGACAAGATTAATTAGCATACCCTGAGGCCCTAAGGTCTGTTGACCCTAATAGCGAGACCATCGGCCTCAAAGGGTCACTTACTCAATGGACAGAGGGTCCCACCCCCTCCCTAAGCTTGTGGGTTTGCCTTTAAAAACACCTGTGCCGGGGGAGGGGGCTTCTCTCTAGCTAGTGAGCTGAGGGAGCTGTTTGCGCAAATGTTTCCTGTTTATTAAAGCCTCTTGGGTGTTGCAGCAACTGGACTGGACATTGAGTTCTTGGGGGTACCCACCGAAACTGATAGACTCATCATTCTGAGGGTCTTACAGATTGGTTGCTCATAGATTAAAACTGCGAAGTTAAAAGTGTGGCTCAGATCCGGAACTGTTCAGGGTCTGCAGGAGACCTGGTCCAATCACTAGGACCTCGTGTTTCAGTGTCACACAGTCTTGCAGATTAGAACAAAGCCTCAGACACCCGGACTGTTTACTCCCACATTGCTCCCTTGATTGACCTCAGCACCCTCCCCTTGCAGGAGGGGTTCATGGGAGGAGGGAGGTGAGAGGTGGAGTTGTGTCCAGTCCTAGGCACTCTCTCCACCCTCCTCTAGGGGGCGGAGCCCTGCAACGAGTTAAGTGAGGCCCAGGCCCTGGAGCTTCTTCTTCTGGCCTCACCATGGACCTTCAGCGCGCTGGCGTTCGGCTGCAGATCGTGCTGGGACACCTCAGCAGACCCTCGGCCCCAGCGATTGTATCCTTTGAGCTGCGGGGATCCGGGGGTGTCAGGCTGAAAAGAGCATCTCCACCTCCAAGGGCTCATCTCCACCTCCAAGGGCTCAAGAAAGCCACTGCGCGCCGGCTCTTCCCGGTTCCTTCTCCCTGGGATTCGAGGAGGAGGCTGCATCCCCAAGTTCGGTGATCTCCCCCGCCCCCCACATCCCCAGAGGACCCTTGTCCCGGTGGGCGTGTGACTCTGCCGGGCCTGGGTGGCTGGTGCGCGTCCCTGTGCCATTCTGAGCCCGCTTAACACCGTGTTTTCTTGCTTTATGTAAAGCGAGAGGTGTAAAGCAAGAGGAGGCTACGTCATTACAAAGAACATTTCGCCATTTTCAGCTGCCTTGGCATTTTCCTGCCCTGTATTTTCCTACACCTAGAAATGTCAAGGACAGTTGCACTGCTGACAGAGGTTCAGAGCTGATTAAGTGTAAGGAGGGGGCGCCTGTAGTCAAAAAGAGAAGGGGCGGGATACAGGACTCTACCTGCCCCCTTCCCACAGAGCTGTGTGCTACTGTGCTCTCCTGATGCTGCAAGTCTCCAGGAGTTCAGTCGATGAAGTTCTAGCAGCCAGCATTAATAACTGAGTTGAGGAGCCAATTTCATCCCCAAAACCCATTTTAAAAAACCCGGGCCTGGTGGTAGATACTTGTGAAGTGGAGGAGCAGACCTGAGGATCATTTTGAGACTTGGTGAGCAGTCAGACTAGCCCATGGGTAAAAGTGAGAGACAATATCTCAAAAGCAAACTGTTGGCTACTCAGTCCAGGGTTCTCGCCCTGGAAATTGCTAAAATTAACTGCCTGCGATGTTCCCATAGGCAACCAGATTACATCATTCTGATGTCTTTCCTTTGGTACTTGGCATCTCTGAGGCTGGTCATAAGAGCTGTTTATTTGACCTTCCCTATTGCTCTGACTGCTGGGTGGCTGGGTTTACAAGCAGCAGTGTGCCAGGCAAATTTAAACTCTTACCTGCAGGTTGATAGAGACAGGCGGTAATGTCAGATGATGACTGTGTAACCCCATTTTAGATTGAGAAATGATGGGGAGAGACTAGACATCCTGAGCAAGGGCATTGAATGGAAGGAGTTGTTAGACCTGTGGAGGTGGAGTGCCACAGGCTACTTCTTTTCAGCGATTGGATGTATACTACATTTTGAGAACTTCAGACATACTGGTACTAGATATATTTGGACTGAAACTGATGCAGTCTCTTGATACTCTTTTGGGTTGTTTGTTTTGGGGACAGGATCTTACTAGACTAACTCTGGCTGGCTGGACTTTGCTATATAGACTAGGTTGTCTTAGAATTCACAGAGACCCACATGCCTCTGCCTCTCAAATCCTGGGATTAAAGGTATGATCCACCAAGCTTGGCTTTTTCAATTTAAATAGCCAGCAACTGTTATTGGATATTGGACAGTGCTGGCCAAGAACCGTAATAAATGTTACTTACATAGACTTTTGGAAATTGTGGCAGTTTCTTCCCAACCTTAATTTGCTTCTAAGAAATGTAGATTAGAGAAAGGCAAATCTTTTGTATTTACATAATTGAGATTAAACTATATAGTCACAGCTTTCTGCATCCACTTTTCACGTAGCCTTTCATCATACATTTCAGCATTATTATACAACAGCCAAATTGTAGAAACAGTAGAGAGGGGCCAAGAGACTAGGCTAGAGAGATGGTTCAGTGGTTAAGAGCACTGACTGCTCTTCCAGAGGACCTGGGTTTAATTCCCAGTACCAAAATGGTGGCTCACAACTGTTTGTAAGTTCAGCTCTAGGAGACCTGACACCCTCACATAGACATGCATGCAGGCAAAACACCAATGCACATAAAATAAAAATAATTTTAAAAGGAAAGAGCTATAAGACCAGCTGCAACTGTTTTTAATCCTGGGAGAGGCAGTCAATCTGTGAATTCAAGGTCAGCCTAGTTTATCCAGTCAGCCAGGACTACATAGTGAGGTACTCCTTCAAAAAAGGAAAGAAGAAAAGGAAAAGAAAGGAAGCAAGAAAAACAAAAGACAAGTATGGTAGCACATGTCTACAATTTCACCACTTAGGTGGTAGATGGAGGCAGGAGGGGTCAGAAGTTCAAGATCATAACTGGCTACACATAAAATTCAAGGCAAGCACCAGTAACATAATATTCTATCTTAAAAAGATCTAAAGCAAAAAACAAAACAAACAAACAAAAACGCAATCCAGGCATGGCAATGTATACCCAGAATCCCAGTATGGAGGTTAAGACAGGATGCTGAAGCCAGCTAACTATAAGTCAACTTCCAGGCTCACTCTTAGTTATTCAATGAGATCTTGAATACATGAATGAACAAAAATAAATGATAAAGATGTTTGTGTGAAGTGACACTGTGGGGTTGGTCGGTTGGTTTGATACAGGGTCTCCCTATGTACCCTGAGTGGCCTGAAACTCACCATGTAGACCAGGCTGGTCTCAAACACATAAAAAATCCACCTGCCTCTGCTTCCCAGGTGCTGGGATTAAAGATGTGCACCCTCCTGGCTGGGTAGAAGTGACATTCTCAGAGCAGTCATTTAAGCAAAAAAAAAGCATGGAAAACGCTGTCACTGATCTAGTTACAGAGTGGAATAAGATCTTACAAACGAATCTCTAGCCTGTTTGATATTTAAAAATTTGCTTGACTTTTTAGCTCATGATTTTTGGGCCCTAATGACTGCCAAACTCTTAACAATTTAGAACAAAGTCACAATTGGCAAGGACCTATGCCTGGGCTTACTTAGGTCTTCTCTTCACTATTTTTTTTTTTTTTTCCGGTTTTTTGAGACAGGGTTTCTCTGTATTGTTTTGGAGCCTGTCCTGGAACTAGCTCTGTAGACCAGGCTAGTCTTGAACTCACAGTTCTGCTGCTCTGCCTCCCAAGTGCTGGGACTAAAGTTGAGCACCACCAACGCCCGGCTATCTTCACTTCTTATAGTTTTGGTTGTGAGCCTAGCCTTTAACAGCTCCTCGCTTCTACAGTGTGACCTGTGGGGGTTTATTTACTCAGCAGTTAGTGGACGGCAATCTTGGGAATGGCTCCAACTGAAGGTACAGGTGGAGGGAAGGGGTAATCCCCTGGCTGATGTGACAGTGACCAAGCTGGACAGACTCCCTGAACCGCACAACTTCTTCTCTTCAGGTCCCACACTTCAGACTGTGCGACAACAAGAGGAGACAACTTAAGTACCAGAAGTGTTTCCTGTCCAGGGCCATGCAAATGCACCTTTTCCTAGAAACAAGGCTGGAGGCCAGTGTTAGACACAAAGCTTGGCTCCTTTGTTTTCCTTAATTCTTACCTAGGTAGCTAACCCCATCTTAGGGCCAGCTTCCTCTGCCAGTTGCCATCCTCAACAATTCCAGTAAGTCAATCTTATTTCAAGCTGTAACTATAGTATGTATACCCTCTGTTTAATTTTATGACAACTTGACACAAGACAGTCATCCTAGAATCTCAGTTGAGTAATGCCTCCACAAATTGGGCTGTAAGCAAGCCTGTAGCTATTTCTTAATTAGTGATTGATGGGGGAGGACCTAGTCCATTGTGGGCGGTGCTACCCCTGGGCTGATGGTCATGGTTTCTATAAGAAAGGCTGAGTAAGTCATGATGAGCAAGCCAGTAAGCAGCCTCCTTCTTTGGTCTCTGCTCCTGGCTCCAGGTTTTTGCCTTCTTGCTGGAGTTTCTACCCTGAATTCCTTCCATAATGAGCAGTGATGTGGGTGGAAGTGTAAACTAAATAAACCCTTCCCTCCCCAAATTGCTTTTGGTCATGACGTGTCAGCTCAGCAATAGTAACTTAACTGGGACAATGTGTAAAAGTCTTTCTAATGGCAGCATGGATAGAATGTCCACTCTATATCATGCAGCACCCTGCCTCATTAGAACTCACTGTTCCAGAAAACATTCTAAATGGTACAACTTGGGTGAGCTTTGGAGAATTTAACCTATATTTTCTTTGCATATTCTAAAATCCAAAAGGAAGGGGAAAATAGAAAATACATCATCTAACCCCTGAAAAAAAATCTAAGCACGGTATGTCACATTTAATTTAGCTTCTATTTTTGGTTTTATTGACATATTGGCTATCAGTGTGTGTGTGTGTGTGTGTGTGTGTGTGTGTGTGTGTGTGTGACTTATTTATTTTTGTGAAGCAAAGTCTCACCAGGTAGGTCTTGAGCTTAAGATCCTCCTGCCTCAGCCTCCTGAGCACCTGAGACTACTATAGGCCAGAACCTGGCATGTGTATTGCCTTGTTTTAAAAAGGGAAGCCCAACCTTCATAATTGCCAACCTTAAGGCTTGGGTTGTTTGATCTGAGTTTGTAAGCTTGTGATCTGCTTATGTGAGCTGTTTACTTTGCTTGCTTCTGAGACTGTACTGACTAGATAGTTTAACGTGTATAACCTGAGTCTGGTGGTACATGCCTGGAATCTCAGACTTTGCAAAGTCAGGGCAGGAGGATTCCAAGTACAAAACAAGTCTGTGCTACAAAGCGAGACCCTGTCTTCAGAAATATATATATATAATATGTATACACATATACTTTATTGTATTGATTCTTCATTTGAAAGACAATTCTTATACACTGCAGAAAAAATTTAAAATTCAGAATTTTGTATTATTACAGAAAGGTAACCATTGTTTTAAAACAAAATTTCTTTGCAACTGCTCTGTCACTGAGTGACATCTCCATGCCCACTCACCTTCTTTTCTCTCCCGATTCCTCTGTCTCTCGTTTTTGTTTTGTGTGACTTCAATCATATTCTGTTATGACACAGTTATGTTCTGTTATGTTCACAGTATTCTGCCATTTATTTTTTAATATCGGTTGCATGGTTATAATTCTTTGACTAATATTTTTCCAGTAATACACATTTCTTGGTGCCCATATGTAATGTTTTGGATTAACAGTCTTTAAACTTTTCTAGATTACTTCAATAAAGCCATATAATAGAAATGTTGAATTAAAAAGTATGAATGTAGGTCAGATGTGGTGGAATACACCTTTAGTCCCAGCACTCAGGAGACAGAAGCAGATGGTCTCTGTGAGTTCAAGGCCAGCTTGATCTACCTAGCAAGTTCCAGGACAGTCAGAGCTACATAGTGAAACCCTGTCTCCCCCTTACCCTATGAATGCATTTCAGGTTCTTGGTATATATTAGCTTGTAATTTAGAATGGGTACTTACCTGGAGTTTTTTTTGTTTTTTTCCTTTTTCTTTCTCTCTCTCTCTCTTTTTTTTTTTTTTTAGGTATACTTTGGATAATAATGTCCTAAGCCTGGAACAGAGAAAATTTTATGAAGAAAATGGATTTCTTGTCATTAAAAATCTGGTGTCTGATGATGACATTCAACGTTTTCGGTATAATACTGATATTTATGATTTTACAAAAAATACCCATTGTGTGTCTGTGTGACAGATGTGTGTCTGGGAATTGATGAGTGTGAGCACCAACACATGCGGGTGGAGGTCAGAGGACCACCTTGCTGTCCATTCTCTCCTTCCAAACAAGGTGTTTGAGATAAGGTGGCCTTTCTGTTTGCATCTACATATTCATTGGCCTGTGAGCTTCCTGCCATTCTCCTGCCACTGCACATCTCACAGAAACAATGCCACACCCACCTTCATTCGCACTGCCACACCCACCTTCCACACTGCCATACCCACCTTCCCACTGCCACACCCACCTTCATTCACACTGTCACACCCACCTGTACGTGGTTTCTGGAGGATCAAACTGGTATTTGTGCATCAGGTGCTTTCCTTGCTGGCCATCCCCCAGACATGTGCAGGTATTTTTTAATGATGTGATTTGTTTGAGTCTTTAGAAGTATGAGTTCCAGAGCCAGATTCTCTGCCTTGAGTCTTACTTAGTTCTACTCCTAACATGATACCTTCCGTGCAATCCGCATATTCCTTGGTATTTTAAGAAATTGGGAAGTTTGATCCTGCTGGTGTCTTAGTGTTGTTATTGGAACAAAACCAGGTAAAACAGATAAGGACACTAGGACAAGGGTTTGATACATGGTGTTTGCTTTTTAGCATTTTTTTTTTTTTAAATTGCATCAGGGATTGTCAACCTGTAACACCAAATAGATTTCATAGCCAAATCTAGAAGCTCCTGGGTGATGACATGCTGCATGATGCAATAGTTAGAAGATCCCACGTGCAACCTCATGTGAATGGTTGAAGCCAAAGAACAGACACACTAAAATAGTACATAAAGTGCCTTTAGGCCTGAGTATATGAGTTGTGATGGAAACACAAGTCCCATCTCCAGGGTATCACATTATGCATATGTAAATGTCCCAAGTATTTCTTAAAAATCTGAAATCCAGAACACTTCTGTTCCCAAGCATTTTAGGTAAGGAACACTCAACCTCAATGCCACCGTGTCAAGAAACACTTCTCAGGTTAAGGCTCAGTAGGTAAAATGTTTGCTGTGTGAGCAAAGAGACCTGAGTTCTGAAAATTCAGGAATGACAGCACTGTGGGGATGAACACTCAATGGCCAGCCAGGGTAGCCTAAACACACGTGTGTGTGTGTGCGCACGCACACACACACACACACAGGCACACACATATAGAGGCATGAATATACACACACACACACATGCAAAACACACATACACACAGGCACATGTGACTGTATATACCTGTAACTCTAGAACTGGGGGAGGAGCACTCAAGGGCCATCCTGTCCAGCTTAAACACACACATGCACACGAGACAGCATATACCTGTAACTCCAGCACTAGGGGGAGGAGAATTAAACACAGACACCCATGCAGTTTCCATACTGGTCTGCTGTGAGTGAGGTATTTTGAGATAATGGTTCCAGGTAGACGGTAGGACTGCTGGCTTTGATCTCCTTCCCATAAATATTAATCTACTAGAACAGAGAAGCTGTCCCAGAATCGGCAATATCCAACAGGGCAGGGCCAGCCAGGCACTCGTAGCCCTCATAATGACATTCTTTGTAAATCTCATTTCTAGAGCTGAGTTTCAAAGAATCTGCAGAAAGGAGGTCAACCCACCAGGGATAATAGTAATGAGAGATGTGGCCATTGCAAAACAGGATTATACACTAAGTGAGAAAGTGGTTTCGAAGATCCAGGATTTCCAAGAAGACCAGGAGCTCTTTAGATACTGCACCCTCCCCCAGGTGAGAGCCTGACCTGTCTTCCCACCTAATGGCCAGTCTTCGAGATGGTGACTCTGCCCCACACTGGCTATTGACAGCATCCGGAAACATTGACATAATGGGGCAGGCTAATGTCTTCTAATGGGTAGAGGCCACTGCTACTGATAATGGGACCCAGAGGTTCTCACCCCACTGTCCATGGTGTCATGACTGACTTTCCTGTGGACTGTGAGTGTATTGTGTTTGTCATGAACAACAAGAGGCCTCGTCTAAGACTGGATAACTAGAATATCAAGTTGAAAAGTTATTATTTACAAATCTATTTATTTATTGTAATGACTTGTCAGTAGAGGTACAAGATTAGGTTTTTTGTTTGTTTTTGTTGTTGTTGTTTTGATTTTTGTTGCTGGTGTGTGTGTGTGTGTGTGTGTGTGTTGCTGACCCAGTGCAAGGCCTTGTATATCCTAGTCAAGTTGTTCCCCTCTTTTAGGTTCTGAAATATCTGGAGTCTTTAACTGGTCCCAATATATGGCCATGTACACAATGCTGATAGACGCCTGCCTGAGCTGCCCGCCCTGCAATTTTGTTTTTCTTTATTTTACACTGGAGTCTTACTCTGTCTAAAACTGACTCTGAAACTTAGGACCTTCCTGCCTCAGCCTGCTCCGCCATCTTGGCTCTTCTGTAGATCATTGTATGCTGTGTTATTGCCTGTGCTTCTGACTTCCTATGAAGTTATTTTTAACTGCTTTTTTCTTAGATTCTGAAATATGTGGAGTGTTTCACTGGACCCAATATCATGGCCATGCACACAATGCTGATAAACAAACCTTCAGATTCTGGTAAAGAACTCTTCTTCACTAGGGAACACAGGAGAAAACTATTGCTAGATTAAGTATGTGAAGCTGATGTTCAAACCCAGGTCATTGTGTAGCTATCGAACTTTAGAAGAGGGAATGTACAAACTTTTATATATAACTCTTAAAACAGTTTATATTATACAACACTGAAGAGTAATAGTGATTTCAGATAGGGACTGTAGAGGGTATTGCTAAATAGTCACACGACAGGCTGTACAGCTCAACAAGCAATAGTTTGTATATTATAAACTCCTCCTATTCAAAGTGTCTAAGCTTTTCTTCTTCTTCTTCTTCTTCTTCTTCTTCTTCTTCTTCTTCTTCTTCTTCTTCTTCTTCTTCTTCTTCTTCTTCTTCTTCTTCCTCTTCTAGACAGGGCTTCTCTGTATAGCCCTGGCCACCCTGGAACTCAATTTGTAGACCAGGCTGGCCTTGAACTCACAGAGATCCACCTGCATGCTGATCCTCCTGTGTGCTAGGATTAAAGGTGTGCACCACCAAGGCCTGGTCATTTATTTGGTTCTGGTAGATAGGTCAGTGTTCCAGGTTTTCAGGCAGATGACAAAAACCCTAAGACTTCAGCGTGTTTTGTGTTTTGTTTTGACAATGAGCTCTGTTGCAGGCAAGAAGACCTCCCGGCACCCCTTGCATCAGGATCTGCACTATTTCCCCTTCCGCCCCAGCGATCGCATTGTGTGTGCTTGGACCGCCATGGAGCACATTGACAGAAACAACGGTTGTCTGGTTGTGCTCCCAGGCACCCACAAAGGCACTCTGAAGCCACATGGTTACCCCAACTGGGAGGTAGGTCTGCATATGTGTGTGTGGTATGTGTATGCACATGCACGTGCTGGCCAGAGGGCAGCCTTGGCTGTGTTTCTCAGGCACTTTCTGTCTTTTTTTTTTTTTTTTTTTTTTTTTTTTATGCATGTCTCTGAGCATAGGCTAGACTGGGATTAAAGTGAACAGTGCCACACCCAGCCTTGTCTTTCCTTTTAAACATGTGTTCTGAGGACCAAGCTCAGGATCTCATGCTGGAACAGCCATCTCCTCAGCCCAGTAGCCGAGTCTTTCCAGAACCCCTTTGCTGTTTTCAGTGTATATCAGTGTACACAAGGAACCTAGGACGGAGTCTGTACTTCCTTTCTTAGCAAGAATCAAAGGTTTGAGGATGTTGGTAAAATATTTAACCTTTCAACACATGTTTGAAAGCCAAGCCAATGTGGGTGCCTTGGGTCTGTGCTGTGTAAGTTCTGTCACAAAGGCCAATCATAAACATTTAAGCCCCAGACACATGTGATGAATGACAATTTTGTCTTACTCCCCAATTGATGATGGATCTGAGGATGAAGAAGAGGGGCAGACTGCCATCTACAATTGCAGAGACACTAGAGTGGGTCACGCATGACCCCTTGGGTGGTCAAATACCCTTTTACACTGGAAAACACATATTTACATTACAATTCATAACAGTAGCAAAATTACAGTTATGAAATAACAATGAAAATAATTTTATAGTTGGGGATTGAAACATCATGAGGAATTGTATTAAAGGGTTGCAGCATTAGGAATGGTGACTGAATTGAACACTGAAGGACATGATAGAAATTCTTTCTAGAAATAATGCATGGAGGTCAAGGGCAAGCACAGGCATGCTAAGGAGCAAGAGAAGCTGGGTGCAGATGGGTTTGGGGGCTCCAGGGACAATGAAAAGATTAGCAGAGGGAGAGCAGCCTGGAAGGACCAGATTCGAGAAGTTTCATGCTGGCTTTATTTTGCTTGGGGTGTGTAGACTTTCCCTTTTGTAGGTAGCTGGCATAGCTTTCATCTAAAGAAAGTTTATTATACTCTGTCTAGAATATAATTGTCATATAATTATCCACATTTTTAGTATAGAATGTGATCATCTTTGGCATGTACATACATTGGTCACCATACTTGAGAGACTCAAAATCCCTCCGGCTTGGTGTGATGACACATGCCTGTAATCCTTGCATTTAGGAGGCTGAGGCAGGAGGATGGGAAGTTCCAGGATGGTCTAGGCAATATCACAAAAGTCTGTCTCAAAGGAAAATAAATAAATAAATAAAAAAGAAGGAAAAGAAGAAAAACCCCTTTCCACCTGTTATCAAAAACGATCAGAGCTGTTAACCATTTTTACAGATTTGCCTGCCTTTTTAAATGTTGCATAAATACAATTCTGTTGCATTCACTGTAGTGTGGTTTCTTTTGCTTAGTGTACTTGAGACTCGCTGGTGTGGTGTCTGTCTTGATAGTTCAGTTCTTTGCTTTACCAAGCTTCATTTTACTGCTTGGCTGTGCCCTGTCTTCTTACCCATTCAGCTCTTGCTGTGGGGAATTATCAAAGGCTTTCACATTTCTAAAAGAGGGGATCAAACCGGTTCTTCAGGAATAGTTATTTGGGGGTATGGTACAAGATGCACTGAAGATTTGGGAAATGAGAGGCAGAGAACCAGGGGGCACATTCTCAGTGTTTCAAATCTAAGGCCAGAAGACCCTGAATTCTAAGATGAGAATCAAGTAGATATTGTACCTATGGAAACAACAGGGAACTGAGCTTGTTAAGGAAATGGAGAATCCTGCTTAGAGAGCTTGTCTTAGGAAGTCAGTTCCTGGTTTTTATTTTTGGGGTGTGTGTGTGTGCACCATAGCACACATGAGGAGGCCAGAGGGTACCTTACATGAGTTTGTTTTCTTCCACTTTATAGATCCTAGAGGTCATTCTTGGCAGCAACTATCTTAACCCATTAAGCCATCAATCTATCCCAGGGTGTTAGAAATCTTAAAATACTACTATGTGACATATGGTTATTATGTGAAAGTCTTTCAGTCTGTTCATGATGGTACACCTGAAATTCATCAGTTTAGGAATAGGTAGAGAGGGGCAGAGAGATGGCTAAGTAGGTGAAGGTACTGGCTGTCAAGCCTGATTGATCCCTGGCCTCCACTTGGTGGAAGGAGAGAAATAAATCCCATAAGTTGTCCTGTGACTTCCACACATGTGCTGTGACATGACCATCCCCTCCTCACACAGTAACTATATGCATGTATGTATGAAGGTATGTATTCTTTTCTTTTAAGGTTAGGTACGGGTTGGTCAGTGCCAGGCTTTTTTCTTTTGGGAAGCCAACCAGCTCCCAAATCATGACATAGAGACTTACTAGTTTTGAACGCTTGCAGGCCTAGCTTAGCTCATTTCTGGCCAGCTCTTTTAATTTAACACGTTTCTCTATCTACATTTTGCTTCAGGGCTTGTTACCTTTCTCACTTCTGCACATCTTGCTTTCACTGCTGCTCTATGGCTGGCTGGCATCTGCCTGGCTTCTTGCCCTGGCTATGTCCCTTAGTCTCTCCTTTCTTGTTCCTCTTGTTCTTTTTCTTCTCTTCTAGATTTCTTCTCCTACTTTGTCTCTTTGCCTGCCAGCCCCACATATTCTTTCTCCTGCCTAGCTATTGGTCATTCAGCTCTGGTTTGTTTGTTTGTTTGTTTGTTTTCAAGACAGGGTTTCTATGTGTAACAGTCCTGGCTGTCCTGGAACTTGCTTTGTAGACCAGGCTGGCCTCCAACTCACTGAGATCTACCTGCCTCTGCCTCCCGAGTGCTGGGATTAAAGGCATGTGCCACCACAGCCTGGCTGTTCAGCTCTTTATTAAACCAATCAGGTGCCTTAGGCAGGCAAGGTAAAACAAATGCAACTCATAATTTTCATAATTAAACAAATGCAGCATAAACAAAAGTAACACACCTTTGCCTAGTTAACATAATATTCTGTAGCATAAACAAATGTAACACATCTTGGCCTACTTAAAATAATATTCTATAGCAGTGGTACAAGGCATACGGCTAGGCTCTGACTGACTTAACAATAGGGAATGATCTGGGGGATTTCCGAGCAGCAGCATTTCCAGACCAGCTTAGGTCAGGTTACACACCCATCTTGCTGGGAGAAAGGGGCCCTGGGTTCAAATTGCAACACTAGCCCATGGGAAATTTGGGATAGTCTTAGCAAGAGTAGGATGCTGGGAAGAAAGCCCAGTCAATAAAATGCTTGCCTTATAAGCATGATTTCCTCAAAACTTATTTAAAACAAACCAACAACAACAACCAGCTGAGCATGGTGGGCATGCTTGAAATCTCTGCTGAGGTAGAGACAGGCTGAATCCTAGGACTTACTGGCCATCCTTGCCTACATGGTGAGTTCCAAACTAGAGGAAGAAATTGTCTCAAAAACAAGTTAGGAATTTTTAGTCCAAATATTTTGAGGTAGAGGCTTATGCAAGGGACTCCAATTAAACTCAGTGAGTCACACACAAAAAGAAGACACAGAGTGGGCATGCCAGTGACTTCAAATGTGAAACAGGCAAAGAACAAAAGAAAAAAGAAATAAAACATACAAAAGGGAAAAATGGTAGACAGTAGCCAAGGAGCAATACCTTAGGCTGACCTTGACCATTGAGCTTCCACCTCCCAAGTGCTGGGATTATAAGGATTTCCCATCACCCCTGGCCACTTGTTCTATTTTACTATTCTTGGTTTACTCTGGGCGTGACAGGAGTGTGTTGCACTTCCCTCCCCGATTTGAGAAGACTTAGCTTCCCCAGGATCCTCCTGACAAGTAGAAAGAGGATGATGTGCAGGAAAATCTGGATAAGGAGAATGACACGCTAGGAAAGAACACTACTGATTCAGGTTGGATGAATGTGTTTGTTTGCCCGTTACATTAGCCAGGGTTCTGTAGCAGAACATTGAAATGGCCGCAACAGTTGTCCTTCAAGGCTGAGTGCTTCGGCAGTCAAAATGGTTCCACAGTGGCTGTCTCTGTCAGTGGCTGACCAGACTGAATGTCCCTGCAGTCTCAGTCTGATGTCAAAAACCTAGACGTTTTCTGGAGAGTCATTGGTCCTCCATCCATGATAGAAGCCTGGAAACACTGGTTCTAAAGTCAGCAAAGGAGCATTGGTGGCTGTGGCGGTGGTGGCAGTGGCGGCGGAGGTGGCAGCAACAGCAACAGGGAAAGGGAAGATAAAGCACCAGAATGCAGCCAGTCTTTTGGCCACCCCCTTTGTATCTCCTGCTCCCCTACTCTGGGCAGGTTTTCCTGTATCAATTAAGACAATCAGGACAATTCTTCAGCTGAGTCTCCCTACTTGGACATTCTTCTAAAAGTTGTCGAATTAACACACTCCAGTTAACCACCAAAGGCAAAGCTGGTCAGTCTAAATCAGTTGTAACCAGTTTGCTGTAGTTGTGCATGTGTGGCAGTCAGAGGACAACTTTCAGGAGTAGATCCTCTCCTTCTGTGAGTTCTGGGTGTCTCGGTGTCTGGGTGTCATGCTCTTGTGGCAAGTACTTTTAACCAGAGAGCCATCTCACCTACCCACCGTAGGACTAGTAAAAAAAAAAAAAAAAAAAAAAAAAAAAAAGGTAATTCAGTATATTAACAAACAAACAAACCACATTGAGAGTCTAATTTAGCCACACTGTTGTCTTGGAGGAAGTTCAAGGACTCTTGCTTCCCCTGATAGACTGATGATGAAGTCTTGGCCATGGTGGCACCTTGAATATGAATACGAATGTGTCTTCTCCTATGTGTTCTAGGGAGGGATTAACAAAATGTACCACGGCATCCAAGACTACAAGAAGGACAAAAACAGGGTGCACCTGGTGATGAAGAAGGGAGACACTGTTTTCTTTCATCCTCTGCTCATTCATGGGTCCGGTCGGAACAGAACTCAAGGATTCCGCAAGGTATGCATGCAGATTGCTACATCCCCAAAGAAGAGTAGACCACAACAAAAATCTCAAGATATGTTAAGATAGCAAAGAATGCAGGGCTTTTCACTAAGGGCCAGTTTATTTACCAGGATATGTGTATACATTCACTCTGCTAGGCCCTTAACCCTGTGGCCACAGAACCATAACCATTCATGGAATTATTTCTGAACAAAAGTGGCCTTTTCAGCACATAGCTGCTGCTGAGGATAAAAACAATGACTGAATTACTAACCTCATGTCATCTGGAATTTGTCTTGCTTATTCTAAGCACAGGAGGGATGCTTATTACATCTTTATTACTGAGAAAATTAGTACTGATGCAAAACAATATTGATTTCTGAATGGCACACTCAGAATCAGACTCAGCAGGCACACAATTTTTCACTCCTTAGCTTCAGAGTGTTTACAACTTGATACTTTGTGGCCTGTGTTAAAGTTCCTCACAAATGCCACAACTTCTCACTTGGACAAGTCCAGGTGATTTGACGACAGTCCTGTGAGCGTGAACTTCCCCATGGGAACATAATGGCCCATACCAAACATCAGGGCTTCTTTGGGACTAAGTGTTGCTTTTCTGGCTACGGCATGTTCCCACTCATCCTCCTGGCTCTTTAAGCCCAAAGATAAGGCACCAAATGTATTTTGCACTCACTTATATTCCCACGAGGTTCTCTGGAGCTTGGCTCCAGAGGCTGGGAGGTGGAGGTACTGACATGCTCAGGACAAAATTTAAGAGGCTGCCAAAAATTCAGCAGTCAAGCTAAATCATAATTTAATGTATCAAAATTAAACAGCCATGCTTCTTATTATGCCAAATTTTAAAATAAGAGACTGGAATGACCCTCAGAGTTGTGCAAGTGTGAAGTGTAGGCATTGCAATACAAATTATAAATTTTGATATACTGAATTTGACCTTTTCTATATTTTCCTAGTGTCTTGAATATTCTAGAAAAATATTTGCCATTGATTCATAATAAAATGCATCTGGGAAAGCACATTTTCCCCTTTGTCTTGGTCTCTGATGTGGCTCCATCTAGCACACAGGTGATATAGGTAATGGATTTGAGACTGTGGAAATCAGTATTCTGAGCAAAGCAGAAAGTCTTCTGCTGGATGTGAACTAATGACAAAGAGGAGGAATTCTAATGATGCTTTGCAAGCTTGTATTTGTTTACAAATTTTTCTAGAATGGGGAGAAGCATAGAGTTTCAACCTTCCATCAGAAGGAAACAAGGTGGGTTCATGGGACTGACTTTTGATGGCCCTGTTGATTTGAGATTTTTCTGGAGGTATTTTCAGTGTCCGTATCTATTTCCATTGAAATAATGACCCATCTCAAATTCAACTGGGTAACAAAGTTGGCTGAGATGATGATCAAGTCCGGGGTGATACACACTTGTCATTGCAGCACTCAGGAGGCTGATACAGGGGATCACATGTTCTGAGAACTGAGGGACAATTTATACAACACAGCAAGTTCCAGGCCAGCCTCAGCTACATAGTGACCCCTACCCCAAAAGAAAAAAAGATGAGAAACAACAATGGAACACCATCCACTTTATGGATGTTAGTACATGGGAAATTTTAAATGCCTAACAATATTGAAGATCTCTTAAAGGACTGGAATTCCTAAGTATACCCTTTAAAAAAAACAAGTATCACAGCTAATTTAAAAAAAAAAATCTTTTGTGGGCCAGTGAGATGGTTCAGCAAATAAAGGCAAGGTGCTTGCTCCCAAGCCTCATGGGTAAAGTTCAGTCCCTGGAAGTCACAAGGTAGAAGGAGAAAACCAACCCTCAAAACTACTTGTTCCCTGACCTCCATGCAGACATACACACTTTAAAACTTTTAAAAATCTTTTGTAATTTCTCAGTTATCCTTCAACTGTGGACGGAAGGCCTAAGCTATGTGTGAGAAGACTGGTTTAGGATACTATAGGCCATCCTTCCAGCTGAGAAATCAAATCCCAAGTGAAGTACTTCCTTCCTGGAGGACTCTACTTGGTTTTGGGGCATACTCGGATTGACAGGGTGCTTGTCTCCAGTATCAATCTATGCTTTCTGCACAGGCAATTTCCTGCCACTATGCCAGTTCTGAATGCCACTACATCAGTGTGAATGGCACCAGTCAAGAAAACATCCAGAGTGAAGTTAAAGACATAGTAAACAGACGCTTTGGAATGGAAACCAACATTACCTTGGAGGTACATGCATGAACCACAAAGGAAACTCTGGGGTTCTTTTTCTTCAGATTTAATTTGAAAGCATACAGGCTTCTGTTTGATGTTGGCTTCCGTTATTGCTGGACCCACCAAGAATGACATTGTAGGGTGTTAGCTATGGATAGTCAGTGATGATGCTCATCAGTCAATCCCAGTGGGTGGGCACATTCACTCTTGAAAGCTGGGTTTATTTTCTTTGTCATTACAAATGCAGGCTTGGGACCAGGCAGTAGTGGCACACGCCTGTAATCCCAGCACTCAGGAGGCAGAGGCAGGTGGATCTCTGTGAGTTCGAGACCAGCCTGGTCTACAAGAGCTAGCTCCAGGACAGCCTCCTAAACCACAGAGAAGCCCTGTCCCGGAAAACAAAACAAAAAACAACAAATGCAGACTTGGGGCTCAAGGATGCTGAGTTAATGATAGTGTACCATAGGTCACATAGATGCCATGTTCCCATGCTGCCTCTAGTCATGTAGAATGTCTTGATCCCACCTTGAACCTACCAAGGTTCTCTATATAATTACTCTATATAATTACTAAATCTCAATAATTCACACTCACTTTGAGTTGAGCGTTGGTGGCACATGCCTTTGATCCCAGCACTCGGGAGGCAGATGCAGGCAGATCTCTATCAGTTCAAAGCCAGCCTGGTCTACACAGTGAATTTGGACAGGCTCCAAAGTTACAGAGAAACACTGTCTTAAAGAAAAAAAAAAAATAAAAGACTGCATATGTACTGAACATATACAGACATTCTTACCACTCCTTCCTTAAGCAATAAAACATCAACTTACATGGCATTTACATTCTGTCAGGTAGTATGGGTAATTGAGAGATATGGTATATATGGTAGGTTGCATATGGACTCTATTCAAATACTTTCCCATATCATACAAGGGACTTGCAGTATCCAAGTTGAGTCGGGCTTGAGGTTGGTCAAGATTATGCTAAATGAGGCCTCAGCTGTTGGCTTTCATTACTTGGTAAGCTATAGTTTGTCAGGTTTATTTAGAAGAATAATGCCAACTCCTACTATGTAATTATTTCTAAGACTCAAAAACACTTTCCTGTCACCTGTTCGTGTCACTTATCATCCTCACTGAATTTAATACAACAATCAGAATAGCTTCATGCCATTTCTTAAATATGCTGGAGGTTGATCTAGGTTTTGGAGTGGGACAATTCATTCTTTCTACCATACCTATGGCTTGCTCAAAAGATAAACAATAAACCAGAAAATATACATTGTGTTACTAGAAATGAAAAGGGACTGGGTGGCCAGCTCCTATAATTGCAGTACTTGGGAGGCTAAGGTGGGAAGAGTGTTGCAAGTTCAGAGCCAGCCTGGGCTACATGGTGGGTTCTAGACTGACTTGGACCCCAAACATAAAAACGGCACCATCAAGATGACTGAGAAAGTAAAGGTGCTTGCCACCAAGCCTGAGGACCTGAGTTCAACTCCTTAACCTACATAGCAGAAAGAGAAAACCAATTCCTACAAGTTGTCTTCTGACCTCCATCTGTACTCTAGTTTGTATGAATGCCCACAAGCTCTCTCTCTCTCTCTCTCTCTCTCTCTCTCTCTCTTACACACACACACACACACACACACACACACACACACACACACACAAATAAATAAGAGTAATAAGACCACAAAACAACAATGAAAACAAAGGTGTGTGTGTGTGGGGGGGAACAAAATTTAAAAACCAACCAATAACTAATTATATTATAATATAACTTGAGGAGAATTTTCAACATACCTCAGGCAGATAATAGTAAGGACTAGCAGAAAGATAGTAAACAGTTTTTTGTTTGTTAGTTTTTATTGTTATTGTTGAGTTTCTCTTTATTGCTTTGGAGCCTGTCCTGGAACTTGCTCTGTAGACCAGGATGTCCTTGAACTCACAGAGATCCACCTGCCTCTGTTGGGTTTAAAGGCGTGCAACACCAACACCAGGCTTGACAGTAAACAGTTTTTAACTGTGGCCAAGTCTTGTATGCAACTACTTGCATCATCTGCCATTAGCACCTGTGTCAAATTAGTTAGGGCTGGTGGCTGGGAACTTATCTGCATAGCATAGTTAGCGCTATTTTAGATACTGGTAGGTAGAGCGATTGGAGTCCCAGAATGTGTTTTATTTACTAACAAATATAACTATTAATATTTTTTTCCTATTTAGTTATTAGTAGAGGCCAGAACCCTTTTTCTCATGGAGGGTGGGCCAAGGGAAGTGTCCCTCAAACTGTTTGATATTATTTCAGGATATCTGGACATTTCGAGGCCGACTTGTGAAAGGAGAAAAAATAAACCTTTGAAATACTCTTCAAGAGTGGGGTGTGGCGATGAATGCCTGTAATCCCAACACCAAAGAGACTAAGAAGGAACATCGTGGGTTCGAGTACAGCCTGGGTTACATAGCAAGATGCCATCTTCTCTCCTCCCCCCCATAAACAAAACAAAAGAATTAGCTCTTCATTATAATTCTTTCAAAGGAAACACGAAAGTAAAGCAAGACCTCTAAGGAAAATGTTTCCTTATTGGAATGATGTCATCTTTCCTATCACCTGTTTACAAAATCAAGACACATGTACTGGGGACTTAATTGCCCAGAGTTAATTATGTGGAGTGAACTAATGCTGTTTTAAGAATACCTAACTTGGGTGTAACTAATAAAGGTTATGGCATATAATTTAAGCATTTCCAGTCAATTTCTTTCATTCCACAAGCACTTACCCAAGCAGACATGAATTCTTGGAAGTTCAGTCTAAACCAGGTTTCACATCCCTCCCCTCATGAACCCACCTCCTATCAGTTTCATGTCATGAGAGGCTTGTGTTCTAGTCTAGAACATATAGTGAACATTCACAGCAAATGATGGACAAAAGGAGAGCATCGGGGAGTCCAGTAAAGGCTGAACCTCATTTTCCAACACATGCTTCCTTGCAAGGATTCAACCCAACACCTTCTGTAAAATGGACTAGTCATCGCCAGTAATTGGCTTTGATGCAGAACAGTGAAGACAAGAGTGTCTTGTCTGTAGTTCCTGTTGGGCAGGGCAGCTGAAAACCTCTTTTGAACAGGGGCTTTTGGGATCCTTTTGCTTCTATCAGCATTTCTATACCAGTTGGAGGCAGCTGGGAGGTGTGTGCCTTAGTTTTCAAAATCCTAGTTAGGGTTTTGGTAAGGAGAAGACAGCAAGTTCCTTTCCTGATACTATGCTAAGCACCAGTTTTCCTGAATTTGCTGTCTGGGTGCTTGCCAGTTTCTTTGTCAAGACAACCCTTCCCCCTTCCAAGCCCAGCGTCGGTGAATGCCCTACCACTGAGCTACATCCTGAGCCCTTCATTTTTATTTATTTAGACAGGCCTTGCTAAGTTTCCCAGATGGCTTAGAACTAGGTAGCTCAGGCTGGCCTTGAACTTGAAATCCTCACACTTGTAAGCCATCTCCCAGCCCCAGATTTGCTGTTTCTTATTTATCTGTATGCCTTACTTTCTGGCACTATGAGCTCTTCCTGCTAGGGCTCTGGGCTCTACTGTGCATTCAGCCACATCTTCAAGGAGTCTTGGCTTCTGGCAGTGGTTTTAGAAACAAGCATCTAGGTTCAGGATCTGGGTGTGGGTGTAGTCCTAGTGCTCTGTGGTCACATCCTGCAGTGACAGTTGTGTACCTCAATGCTGTGAGTCCCCAGCTGCAGCACCACTGGAGGGTGGCAGACACCTGGCCACAGAGTGCCTGATCCAAAGGTTTCTGTCTGTTCTTAGAGACTCCAGAGTGCCATTTGGTCTCAGAATTGTCACTTTTATTCATTCTCCTTGAGGGTGGTCACTTTCCTGGAACATGCTGTGTGGTGTGAAGAGGGAACAGGCAGAAAGGGACAGTGACCAGTCCTCAGAAATGGAAGCAAAACTCGAAGCCCAGTGGGTCCTTCTGCCTTAGTAAAACGTCTGTGGCTCTCAAGAGCCACAGTTTCAGTGTTCTCAGCGTTGCTGCCCAGGTGCCCCTGCTTCAGTGACTCAGCTCTGCCACTGGAACAGGTAGGTGGCCAGAGACAACAAAGCTAAAGGAGTGTGGTTGGGAACCAAGGCCTCTATTTGCAAAAAACAGTCAGCCTGCCAGATTTGCCCGCAGGCTATCATTTGCCCATTCAATTCTAATGAAAGCACCAATGATGGTGCTGGTGATGCTTCCAGGGCTGCACAGCCACTTCTCCAGCGGCTGTGGGAAGGCTGGGCTGGCATCATCTTCCCTTGCCCCGAAAACAATCTACGTGTGTGTGTGTGTGTGTGTGTGTGTGTGTGTGTGTGTGTGTGTGTGTGTAACTCTGTGGAACCCCTAAGTGGCCAATTTTTAATCTAGGTTAAAGTTGGCATAGCATTTAAAATTCATACCCTAGAGGCATGCACCACCAATGCCTGGCCTAATTCCCTCTCAGATATTGTCTTAGTTTCCTAGTGACACACTCTGGTCACCTGGCATTAGGTTAACCTCTGGAACCCAGCTTGTGGTAACACAGTCTGGAGTAGACCATAACTTTGTGAATAAAAGTTTAAAAATGGGAAAGAAAAGGCCAGAGAGCCCTGCACAGATAAAGGCCTGGTGTTTAAGCATGTATGCATGTTTTAGATCTTGATACAGGGAATGGATTTCTTACTATTGTGTGTGGTGAAAAACGGTATCCAGGAGCCAAGTTCCTGACTCACACATGGACCAGTTTTTTGTGCCTGACCTAGCAAATGTCCACAAGCACGAGAGGCTAAAACTACACATTTGTTTTCTCAGTTCTGAGACAGGAGGTCTGAGCTTGCACCGTTGGCTGGTTCCTTGTGAGGTTTCTGTTGGGGTTTCATTGTGACGGGATCCCTGTAGGTACACGTTATTTGCACCTTTGGTCCCCAGATAATGCTGTGAAGAGACACCACCATGACCATGGCAACTCTTATAAAGAAAAACATTTAACTGGGGCTGGCTTACAGGTTCAGAGGTTTTAGCCAATTATCATCCTCATGGCAGGAATCGTGGTGGTGTGCAGGCAGACATGGTGCAGGAGGAGCCAAGGATCCACAGGCAATAGGAAGAGAAAGAAAGACACTGGGTCTGGCTTGTGCATTTAAACCTTCAAAGCCCACCCTCCCCACAGTGACACATGTCAAACAAGACCACACCCACTCCAACAAAGCCACACCTTCTAATTTTTCCATTCCCTGGTGATGAATGCCCGTGCGTCTGTCAACATTTCCTCTTTTTATGAGGACACAGTCATATCAGGTTGGGGGTTTATTTACCTTAATAAGCTCTTTGTTGTTGTCATTATTACTATTGGCCCAGACTTGCTATTTAGATCAAGTTGGCCTCCAACTTGCAGAGATTCCCTCTGCCTCTGTCTCCCAATTGGTGAGAGATGTGTGCTGTAATGCATGGACTACAAACTGCTTAAAGTTCTACCTCAGAATGCAATAAAGTTCTAGGGACATGGAGTGAGAAGTTTTAGAAGACACAATTTAGGATGTGGCATTACCTCTTTGGAGCTTTGAAGGAGTCTCTGGGCTTCCTGGAATTGTTAGCCTCTGGGCTGTCATAGAACTGTTGGCCTCTGGACTGTCATGGATATCAGCTCACTAGGAATATGTCACCAGCTAGGAGAAGGAGAACCAAGACTCCCACCAATGTTCCATATTAAAATGTCTGTGTTTTTTCCTTTCTTTATCACTGTATCTAAAATGTCAGAGAGACTAGCTTAAAGGGAGAAACTTCTGTTTCAGTGTGTGCCCAGTACACTCTGATTATTAGATAACATGTTTCTCTATCAGGCCTTGGAAGATGGCCAGCCTGCTCTACAGAGCGAGTTCCAGGTCTGCCAGGGGCCATACAGACAAGTCCTGTCTCAAAAAAAAAAAAAAAAAAATTACACTAGGTAAATAGCATATTGAAATATATTACTGTATATAATTGATACGTGCTAATAAAACATTTTTTAAAACTGCGAAACAGAAAAGCCATAATTTATTTTTCAAGAACACCTGGGCCACATGCATAACATGGTGACCTGTTTGTCATTGGGACCGTTTACCTTGTTCAATTCTCGTTCCTTGAAAAGGATGTGGAGAGCTCAGCCCTGTGAGTGGGAAGAAAAACAACGAAAGGTTTTGAAATGAGAATTTCATAAAGTGCAAAGCCAGCCTGAGGAAATGGACCTAGACTGTCCAAATGTCAAGGGACCAGAAACATGTTTGTACATTCTTGGCATGCCTCTGACCAGACTCAGAGTCTTGGTGCCAGCCATCTCCTGAACAAGCTCCCTTTCATACCTCCTCTCACAGAAGTCTTGCCTTGCACAAGCCCTCACTCACTTACCTAGTTAACACTTGAGCTGTTCACAGTCCCTCATTCATGCATTTCCTTATTTGTGAGTGGACACCACACACCAACTCCCAGCCCAGTTCTCTCTGCTTTGCCCGGCCACAGCCCCCCTCACCCCTTCTGCAGCTTCTACCCATCGTCTCCACATTAATCTCCTCTAGCACTGTTGGCATCCCTGGCTTGTGCTCAGGGAGCTGACTGTTTTGGAGAAGGGGTTGGGGCAAGCCCATAGAATCATATGCAGAGAGACAGGCCATAGAAGTGAGTAGAAATACAAGGAAAAGTGTGCAAGGGGAAAAAAAAGAAGGGGTATTAGGAAAGGAAGATGGAGGTGTGGAAAGAGGCATTGAAAAGAGGGGGCTTTGGGAAAACCATCAAAACTCTTCAAGATTTTTCTAGAGAAGGTTGTTCACTGAAGCATCTGGAGAAGGGGAATTCATGGGCATGGCCAGAGTATGATACCCCAGAGAGCAGAGGACAGGACGGCTATGAGGTTGGAGAACACACAGAGAGAGTTAACAAAAATCCTGTCATGTCATGCCAAGTAAAGAAACTATGTTCAGCTGCATGTGGCGGCACATGTCTTTAATCCCAGCACAAGGGAGGCATGGGCAGGGCCAGGGCCAGGGGCAGGAGTAGAGGCAGAGGCAGGCAGATTTCTCAGTTGGAGGCCAACCTGGTTTGCATAGCAAGTTTCAGGCCAGTAAAGGCTACACATTGAGACGCTGTGGGAAAAGAAGATGCCCAGCAGTGATAGACAGGTTGTTTTTACTCTTTACTGGATCTCTAATATCCTGGTAAATTTTATGTTATGTTCTTTTTGCCATAATTAAAAATAGGGAAAAAGAGATGACACAGTCCCTTTAAATGTATGAATCTTTCAAAAAGATTTATTTATTCATTTATTTATTAATTATTCAATATCTTTGTGCATATTTGAATGTACCATGTGTGTGTAGTGCCCACGGAAGTCAGAATAGGCATGGGATCCTCTGGAACTGGAGCTACAAGTGGTTATGAGGTGCCACATAAGTGATAGGAACTGAACACAGGTCTTCTGTGAGAGTGGCAAATGCTGAGCCCCATTCATCAAGGAAGTAAGGTCCTCCAAGCATGTCTGCTGAATGTGTATATGAAGAAGCTGAACGAAAGACCCTAGGACCTTAGCTCTTGCAGTTTTATGCAATATACTTGCAGTAAGAATTCAAGAACTAAGGGAGAACTATGTCTAATTTCTAATTGCTAAAAAATACCCTGTTCTTGTACATTAAAAAAAATGGCTAGTAGT